GTAGAAGCTGTTTTCATGCACTTGTGTCCAGACCCATTTTGCCATAAAACTAAGACCATGTTAGAAACACTGACAACTTACTAAACCAGAATTTCTATACCAGTAGTGCTGCATAGGTGTTCTCACAGCCAATTTCACATTCATCTGAATAAACAGCTAAAAAATTCATGGGTTTTGATGGACATTAAAAATTCATCTAATTGCTTCCACATGACCTAACAGCAAATACTCATTTCATCATAAAACATTCCTATATGAGAAGAAATTGAAGAGGTCCTTCCTCTGTCTTTGTGACAAATTCAGGGCTTTGCCATGAAAATTCATTCTTCTCATAAAAAGAGGGGGGAAAAGAACAAAGCTCAGTACTGAGTTATCATCTTTAGGCTGTTTTCTGCTATTTAAATCATCTATATCCTGACTATATCAGTCAGGAGGGTCATATAAGGTATTGGATTTTATCCCTTAAAGATGCACATGTATATAAGTGACTTTGAATTGGAGGTTCAATTCCAATTATGTTTTTCCAGATGTTTTTTTGCCATCTGATCAAAATGCAAGAGTAAAAAGGAATTCCTGGGGTTTGCAGGAAAAGCAAAATTTTATTTTCCAAATTCATGCAAATAAATCTCCACTTTTTTTTCACCAATTTACCTTTTGTTCATTTTACATAAAGGAAATTTTCAAGCCAGGAAGTACCAGAAATTTGTCTATTTTTTCTCAGTTTTCCTGTGAAACATTTTTGTGTCTCTGCTCTCACAGACAGAGATATTAATCTCTAGAAGTTAAACTCTTTACCATCTCATGTCACAAGAGGTGTAAATGTATGTATCAGGATTTTGTTTTCTGATATATATAAAACTATCACAATAGAAACTGTTTGTAAACCTTAGATTTAGATAAGGTAAAACAATGTATTTCATTATTTTGCAGACCTCAATGGTTAACATGCAACCGTGAGAAAAATAATGTTGAGAAAGTATCCACAATGTGTTTACAAGCACTCTAAAGCAGTCCCAGTTTGTACACACTTTGTTCTGTTAAAGTCAGTATCACAGTCCCCATGGGCCATGACAAGATTTTCTTTCATAATTCCTTAAGGTTTTTTGTTTCCCTACTCCAAAAGAAGCAAAGCCAGCAATAACTAGAAACATAATACAGTAATTTTAAATCAAATATTATATAGTCTTTAAGTGTTTATTTTGCAAACAAAGAGAATATTTTTGTTGTGTTTTCATTTTTGTTTTTTAAACAGAATTCCAGCAAGAGAGCAGTTATTTCATTTTTGGATTCCGTGCCTTTACATTAGGGAAAAAAGCTACTTGCTGTTTCTATCCTGTCATTCAGCACCTAATGAGAAACAGACTGACCTTGGAGATGTTAATATGCTCTTTCTACTTAAAAGTTTTGGGCATCTAGGAGTTTGGGGAGAAGTTATAAATGCAGAGTATATTGTATGTAACAATTGCTTTCTGAGCACAAGACAAGGAAAGTTTGGGGAAGCTCCATTGAGAATACTCCTTTTGGGAAAGAATTGGTCATAAGCCTCCCATGGGTTTAGCCTTATCTGGAACAGCAGATGTGCTGTGATAATCTTAGTAAGATTTCTACACCTGAAAAGGTTTCTGAGCCCTTGATTTTTCATCTATTTTCCTTGGTGGCTTTTTAAAAGAACTGACAGTTGATTTTGCAGCAAGGAGTATTTTCAAAGTTGACAACACTGTTTATTGTCTCTGTGCAAAGAGAGTGAAATCAATTTCTCATGAGTATTTGAGCCTGGGGGGTCAGTGGACTGAATTTGATTATGGAAATTACAAGTTACTTACACTTGTTGTAATTTAAGGAAAACATTCCTTGTATTTCATTATTTTTTTGCATTTGGCATTCTGATCACTGCAATGATGTCCACACAGTGTTCCACCCTAGACTATTAGAAATCTTGGCAGGCAGTTGTCACCTGTGTTATTGGAACAAACGGTGTTCTAGTTTGAAAAGCTGGGTGCTAAAAGCTGAGAAAATATCAGATCACAAGGGATTAAATTGATGGCCTTTACAGAAGTGTTAGGACATTTGCTGAAGTCCAGCATTTTTTAATATGCAGTACATGATGTTCTGCCTTCAATCGTAAAACAGTAACAATACAGATTGCTCATTTAGAGCAAATCGGCCTGAAAATGGGTACAAGTGACAATGCAGTTTGTGATGCACTGATATGACATTGAAGTGAAGAGTATGAAGCTGTCAAAAAGATAATTATGAGACAAACAAGATATGAATCCTTTGCTCCTTTTGGGGAGCAGTTACTTCTCAGTAGGGTGACTCACACAACTAACTGCTCATCACTGGGAATTAATAGCCCAGCCCAGAGGATGTACAGTCAAGCAGCCCTTTCCTGATGGTCTTTTAGTTGTTTAATTTCCATTTGTATGGCCATTTGAAATATATGTACAAGTACTAAATATTGTTACAGTGCATGAATAGAAACTAAGACTTCTATACATTCATCTGTTCTCAGACGAAGTGAATATTAATGGCTATGTCAAGTAAAAGGCTCTACTGTCTGAAAGTAAGAGGAACCTTATTTCAGGTCGCCTTTCTTTCCTGTCTCCTTCATGAATCTTGCATCCTTTGCTATATAGTGCTACAAATATTAGCAAGTGTTTTAAGGACCCTTTGGGTGAGAATTTTGAAAATTTGAAAATAGATCTTCCAGATCCTAGGCAATACCTCAATTCTTTTGCTTCAGTGTAAAGAATGGCCTGGCAATTTTTACTGTATGTACTGTGTAAAAAAAAAAAAAAAAAAAAATCAAATAGGGCTGACTTCTTTTTCAAAAGCTCCTATACATTTGTGTGGACTAAGCTTTAAGAAAGCTAAGTAAATCCCTTTGTAGGATTTAGGCAGGGATAAGCCTGGTTCTTGGATCCTGTTTATGCCTAAGCTCAAACTTGATGTCCAAAGTCAGCACAATTAAAACTGAAGTTCCAGTGTGGACAGGTACTCATGAAGTTTGCAGTAAAAAAAAAGATAGAATCAGGATTAGGCCATACCTGAGTGGGGATCATGCTTGCAACTTTTTAATAGATTCATTAATGCTTCCCAAATCATACTTTAATCTCTCAAGTTACTGGGATCTTTATCTTTTGACTCTGTTACTCAGGTCCTTACTTCACAAGCTGTCGCTGACTTTATGGAAAAGAACAGAGCAACACTGAGGTTTTTCCTGTCCCAAATAAAGATTGAGGAAATAGGGACAAAAGCAAATGTACATGAATCCCTTCACTGCCCCTGTAGAATCATAACTATTACATGGAGTAATAGTTAGTAATATGTCTTGGCTAAAATAATGCATCTTCATTTTCCTTTTCTCCCTATTGTTGCAATGGTGCCATGCAATCCATGGATGATGAGACATACGGCCTTCCATGGTCTAGTGAGAAAAGTGATGCCATATGTGGATGCATGAGCTGTTACACTGAGATTAACTGTTCCTGTTGTCTTTTATTGCCTCTTATGCAAGGCATTTAGCACTACTGGATCAATATAGCTTTCTTCTATTATTTTCCATTTTATTTCTATTATCAACAGGACTTGTCTATCTCACATTGGCCTTTTTAGCCATCAGCGCCCTTGTAGCAAGAGTGAAGCCTACCCATGATGATGATGATTTCTATTATATTCTCTTTATTAACATTAGCATGGAGTGCTCCACTCCAATCTGATGAATGGTAAAAAACATGGTCAGTTGTTGCTACTGTTGTTGTTATTGTTGTTGTTACTATTAATAACAAGAACACGTAACTTGAAGTGGTACCCCTGACTCAATATCTGTCTTCAAAGAACAAATTAAAGGGAATCTCTGGCCTCAAAGAACATAGAACTCTAAGACAACCAAACAGATAGTTCAAGGGGCTGGCACAGCAAAAAGAATGACTGCAGAAATCAAGAGTTTTCATTATAGTCAGCTTGGCAAACAAGCATGGTGAGAGGAAATTTAAAAGTGGAATTGAAAGAAAATTTCTCATGAGCAAGACCAGAGATAGATGCTGTATGGATTAAGGCATGGAGGTGATTAGAAGGATTTCCAGAACAGCAGAAAGCAGTGGGAATATTAGGAGAATGATGTAAGTTTGTGAAGTCAAATTGCCAGTGATCTTCTGATGTTTCTTAAACCTAGGACTTCTGAATCAGCCTTTTGTCTGCAGGAGTGGGCAGTACAGTAATTCTTCTTTTATTCGAGACTATGCTGAAGAACAAGCAGTTCTACAGGTGTTAATTGATATATAGAGAGACTTTTTCCACAAAGGTTACAGTATTGTTAAAAGACTTTCAGTCACTTATTTGGAAGCACTGCTGACAAGTTGCTTGTGTGACAGAGACCTCTTTTGTCCTGGTGGTAAAAAGTTTAGTAAATGGATGGTCTTCTGTAATACTTCAATATGATGAGTGTTCCATTCAGACCAAGGTTAGAATATTGCAGGATCATTTAGCATCCATCTGTTGCACTTTCTGCTGTCTGATTCAGTTGTACAAGGTGGTTCCAAACTCCCCTACAAGCTAATGAATAAGGCTTTCACAATATGTTTAATAGTTAGACCTCAAAAGGGTTTGTAGCATATATCAATGTGAATATTTTTTAAAAAATGCAATGTTCAAAATGTATTCAATTAGTACTTTTTTTCTGTGAGTAAATTGCAATAATTTTAAGAGAAAATCAAGGCAAAATTCATTATGAAGGTAATTAGGAACTTCAGAATGTCCAGTTTATATTCAAAAGAAGGATGTTAATTTTATTGTCAGAATTAGTAAAACATATGAAAATGTCTCTTCATTAAGATCACGACGATATCCAGTTGTAGGAAGGAAACATCTAATATCTTTTCCCAACCTGGGTTGTGGAAAACAAGGTACATACAACACAAAAGCTAATGCTTATTTGCCATCTGTGGAAGGAAAGGGATAAGACATACATTACTGTGCTAATAAGTGTTCTTTTTGTGCAGCTTCAACGGATGACAGTGCGGCAGAGAAGAAAGGTGGAACACTTCACACTGGCTTAATTGTTGGCATTCTAGTCCTGGTCCTTATTGTGGCTGCAGCCATCCTCGTGACCGTCTATATGTATCATCATCCGACATCAGCAGCTAGCCTCTTCTTCATAGAGGTAAGACAAAAGTAACATGTTGTGTCAGTCCTGTCTCTTGGCTTGGATATTTGATGCCTCCAGAATTGATCTTTCTTAACTAAATCAGAAAATATTCTCATGTTCATAGTATAATCTTTGAAGAAAAGGACCTCCCCTAGCAGGTGTTTTGCTCTTAACATGTCTGTGAGTCAGCTCCTTCTTTAACTACCATCACTATAACTTTTTTGCTTTTAGACAGGATCTCAGATATTATTCCACCACTCTTTCCTATCCTTCATTTTCCTCATGATAGCATTTTTCCATTACCTTTCAAGTGCACTGGCGTTTTGCTTCAGGATATATATTTTTTCTATTATTTTCCTGGGGAGGGAGGAAAGAAAAGTGTGCATTCCTAATTCTGCAGAAGAGCTGACCACTTAGTTTTTAGCTGGAAACTTGTGTTAGCTGTTCCTTACATCATTTCAAGAAATCTTTTAACAGTTTGTCTCCAAGTGTGGGAAAGATTTTTTCATCTAATTTTTTTACATCTATCATCTTCTTTTGCTCTTTTTATTAGTGTAGAGAGCAATAGACTCTCTTAGACCATAATTCATCTGACCTATTTAAGACATCTCCTTTAGGATTAGATAACTTACCATTTTTCTCCCTCAAATACAGATAGCTACTTTAGATGCAGGCATCTACATTGCAGATGCTGACATTTAGTGAGTTCACTTCCACTGTTCTTGAAAATATGAGAAAGGAACATTCTCCATAGGTGTTTGAGGCTTCAAAAACCTGTGAATACTTACACCTTCTTGTGGATTTTTTTTCCAACTCAGCAATGTTCCTCTACCTTGTGATAAGTATAGAGTTACTCAGTGTGAACACCTGACTGTTCATAACCCCACTTGTAGTATACCCTTACTATTAAGAGCCTGGACACTTAGTGCTAGACAACTGTGAAAATGCAAAACCACTGGAAGTGTCACTAGGGACATATCTGGGGATTGCTTAGGTAAAAGCCTGGACCAGGAAGATAGGAAGTAGACGTTCATTCTTGGTGACAGCAATGAGAATTGAAGTGAGACATGAACATGAACAGAATGATTCATCTTTATATCATATTATAATAAATTTACTTCTTTGATGCAATAGTAGTGACAAAAATCAAAATGAATTACTTATCAGTATTCCAGCCTCAAGTGATGTAACTGTGTTAACCATTGGGAAACAGAATCCATGCAATAAAAAATAGTTTTCTTTCATGTTTATACAACATTTCAAGCCAGTTCTGTATTGATATATACAAACAAATTCCACTGAAGTCCACACATAAATGATGAGGTTTTTTCCCTTTCTTTTCTTCGCACACAGATGATTGAATTTCTGTTTTTTCATTCTAGTTAAAGCAAGTTCCTTATCTGTCATGGTGGGATTGAAAAGGCTAAGTAAATGGCAACACCATTTTTTAAGGAGGAGGGAAGAATACCAAATTACAATACACATTTATTTATTTATTTTTGTTCTCCATATAGTAAGGGCACGTTAATTTATTTCTTTTATTGATATCATACTCATCATGCAAACAGTGGTGCCTTAATCAGTTTTGTTAAACCTATTCCAATGAATTTAATCTTTAGGTGCCATTAATCAATCTATGCAGTCAACTCTAAAATGTCTTTCAGCAAGCAATGTAGGCTTTTAGGAAAAAAATGGAAAAACATGTACTTTCCTTTTAAAATAAAGGAGAAATCTATTGGATCTACATGTTTCCAAGACAAAGAAGAACGTATCTTCTCAAACTTGCATTTTGAAACTGAAGTACAAAAAATAATGAGGTAAAACTGGTATAAATATTCAGCGTTACAAACAGTCAATTTTATTACATTGTTGTAATTGAAAAATATTTGATTAAGCTGTTACAGGTAACATAATAGCCCACATACCACAGCAGACAAGCTACATTATTTATGGAAAATGAATGAAATGTGGATCTGATTTTACCATTTTTGGGAAAGAACTCAAGAGAATTGCCATGGTCATGAAATGAGAAGCATATAAATATTTCAGAAAATTATATTGGTTTGTATGAGTCTCTTGATTAATAAAAAAAGCTGCACAGTTAAAACAAGATGTGACAGATGGACAGGCAGGTCCCTCCTGCAGTTGTCTAAGAAATTATGAGTACACTGTAGTCTGCTATGAAGTCTTCTAGCCAAATGAAGATCTGCACCAGTTTATCTATCATCAGTAATAATATAACTCTAAGGCTGGCCAAAAGAAAGAACAGAAACCTGGCCCATTTCTGTTTAGTTTTAAGCTTTACAGGGGCATCATATAACATTAAACATAATATTCATTCAAAACTGTAATATGACTAATAGAGAAACTTCTTTTTCCATCTAAGTTCTAAAACACTGTTATGATTTTGTAGGTAAAGTGTCATTTTCAATCAGATTTTGTTGGGGTTTTTAGGTTAAGGGCTATGTAAGTAATTTTTACTTGATTTGTTTTATAGTTGTGACTGGTTACTGAATAAAGAAAAGTGCAATAAACTGATCCCATGTCTGAGGTTTCAAGTCTCTTTCTTCCTTGTGTTCTCTGCAGATATTACTCAATATTCAATTACTGCCTTACTCAGGTTCTCTCATAGCTCATCTCAAATCCCACTCATGTTTGTCATGTAGTGAGCTCCCCCAGATAAGGATAAATACACCCACATTTTGATTGCACTCTTTACCCTTGCACTGATAAAGGCAATCCCTTCTGAATAACATTAAATGATATCCTGAGTGCACTACTTTGGTTTAAACAAGAGATACACAAAGCCAAGAAAAATACCATTTCTTACAAAAGCAACTATTGTCTGAAAACAGAGCAACCTTACTCCATTACTGTTTTACTGAAGTCTGAAGTCTGAAGAAAATGTTTCCTCTAGTGTTTTTGTTCATAGCTGTTGAGCAGAACACACATGTGCAGCCCCACCTGGAATAAAAATAGCTATTTTGAGCAAACAGTTGAGAAATCTTAAATGCCTATGCTATTCAATTTGCCTGTGATAGTGTGCAGTTTTAGAAGAATGCCATCCAAACAGTTCAACGCATTTTCCAAAGTTCCACTTTTTGTTAAATGTGTAGAAGATTCAAATCAAAATGCAGTGTTCTCCTGTTTCTTCCAGACTCCAGGCTGCTCATGTGTTTTGTTGTTTAAGTTGGACACTTCTCTGGTGACCTAAAGATAGAATGAATTATCAGCTTTTAAAGTTAAAGGAGCTTCAATCAAAGTTCCAATGAATGCAGACTCCAAAAGCTAAGAGTAAATGTTTTCTAGAGATTAGCTTGCAGAGTGACAGAAGAGATGTTGCATGCTTTGGTTTTCTATTTATCATTATCCCTGCAGTATTTTATCTCCCTTGAATTTGATTCAGTTGCCAGTAGTTTCCCCTGCTAAATCACGTTACATACATACTCTTAGCTTGAGGAATGCTGTGTCTCTTGTGTATACGTTGAACTGATTTACACTGATTTTGAAAGGCAACATTCATGTCAAATAGTGCTCTTCATGACTTTTTCAACAAAGCAGAAACTTATGTCAGAAATCTAGCGACAACATATATAGCTACACCCTAGCTATAGCACAATTAAAAAGCAATTCCTTTATTCACTAACCCATGTGGTATACTTGCATTCAGGATGTGAGATTTGTTGGCCAAGAAGCTAATCATGATGTCCTGAATGTTGAGGATTGCATACATGTGATATAGATTATAGCAAAAGTGATATAAATATCTGGAGCTGGATATAAAGAGTTGGGAAGAAATTCTCGGCTGAGTCAGATGGATTTGTTCAAATTTCAATGAGCTGTGGGCCAGATTGCAGCTTTAGTAGTATTTAATATTTTACTTCTTCCTTTCTTTTCCCTCAGGTTCTTTTTTTCTTATATTTTTAACCTTTAAGGACCTACTTTTATATGTGAACTATGGAACTATTGAAGTAATTGAGAGCAATTAATTTCAAGAGAATATTTAGCAAATCGAAAAACAAGGCATATGGCCAATGGCCTTGAACTCAGATGTCTTGTTTGTGCTGGTTTGCACAGAGTTATCTCTGGACCAAAGGGTTGCACTTGACACAAGAATTTTTCACTCACATACTTTGTGTTTTACTTACCATCCTTACTCATATGGTGAACCAGAGTCCTTTTAAGGCTTGAAACTTACCTCAGCTGTCATCCCAGTGCTCTGCCCTTGGGGATCAAGGTCAACATGATCTGGCCACAGCTGAGGAGAGAGCAGAGAGATTGCTGGAAAATATGAAGGCAATAAGTCAGACATTTCAGTGTCTCTTCCCAAATGGACAGTGATACCATTACCGAGCATGCTTGACAAGGCTTGGTAAAAGGCTTGAAAGGCTTGACAACAGCAGAATAAAATTTTTCTGTGGTGGTTCTCTGTGGGTAGGGGATTTTAAGGAGTCTAAACTGACATTGCAAGTTGGTATCATCTTAACCTCAGGCAAAGAGTCTTTCTTTTGTATTCAGCTTATATGTACAAAACCAAATCCAACTTATTAACACATGTGGACTCTGAAGTTGTGAGAATATGAATGAATTCATCTGTTTATGTATTAATAGTAGTTAATATGTCACACACTGAAGAACAGTGTGGGTGTTTGTGGTTAAAAATTAACATTCTTCAGAGTTAAGATCCCATTTTAAAGGTCATAACTTTTGCCTTCATGTTCCCATGCTCCTTGGAGTTATTCCAGAGCTTTATATTGCTGGTTAAGCAGTTGATGCTTAGAAACATACATCTACACTTATAAACACATACATCACACACATGAACATACGTATGTCTTTTTTCATCGTTTATTTTACCTCATCTTGGATGTTAAAGATGGATAATTTCACAAATCTGTTTAAATGGCCACACAGAGAGTTGAACTGGTGCTACAGAGCCAGGGAGTGACCTTGAGGAAAAAGAGAGGGAGGAGGGAATGAACAGCTGCAGGTCTTTTGCAAATAAAATAATAGTGTGTGATCAGAGCCTGGAGGATGCACATTGACACCTCCTGATTTAACTTAAATTATGTCTTTGCTTGCTAAATTAAATTACACTGGGAAGGTTTTTTTTAGCATAAAGACCAACCAGCATGGAAGGATCTGCATTCCTGTCACTTAACTCTGTCTCATATATAGTTGACAGCGTGGAGACTATTAGCATGGACTGAAGGTGGTTCACAAATACTGAGCCCTAGCTGGGGTTCTCTGAGAAAGCACTAATTACTGGGTATTTTTTTAACTATTGGGCTGTATGGGGGATTGTATTTCAGTATCTGGAAACTTTCACTGGCACGCAGATCTAGCAGTAGATTTTCTTAAAATTTTGACCTTCTGCTCATCCCGTCTGCTGTGAGGAAGGAAGTAATATGAGAAAATACTCAAAAAAGCTGGAGAGAGTTCTTGGTTTTTCAGAGCTCAGGGAATTAATGGACACTTCTGGCTCACTATTATACATCTCTGCTTATAACAACGTAGCACAAATAGGAGCCAGATTTGACATTCAACTATGATCTCTATTTCCAGGTTTCTACATTAATGTCACAAATGCAGTGTATGTTTTCAAACAACTGAGGAATAAATAAGAAACAGAGTAAAAAAGAAAGAAGGATTTTTAAAAAATAATAAGATCCTCAGCTTTCTAATCCAGGTGATGGACCTCACAGAATTCCACTGCTTTCTTCTGGGATATGGCCCATTGTTTTTATTATATATATCCATTTCACAGGGGATTATGCTTTTAGTTTGAAACAGGTTTGCCATGGTCATCAATTAGTTTTTGTAGAGAGGTTCAGGCTGAATTGTGTTTAATGAAGATGATGATTAAAAAGAAGAGAACAGGTATCATTTTTCTCTTTTTCAAAGTTCTGCAGTGTCCTGGTGTTTGGAGTATTGTCATTGATCTCACTGTCATTGCCTTGTACTGATAGTAAAGTTATTTTTTCCAAAGCTTATCCAGCTCAGCAGGAACCAGCAGCTCAGCAAGGGAAACTTAAATCAGCCACAAGGGAGAAGGACTAAAATAAATAATCAACACTGACAATAAAAGTCAAAGGTGGAGAGGAAGGAGGCATTCTGTTTCTCATCCTTCAGCAGCCAGCTCCTTAGATATACGTAAGACTGCAGAAACTCTTATAGCAAGATGTGCTTTAAATCACAAAATGATACTTTAAAAAAGTGCTTCCATCAAAAAGAAAAATAAATTAAACCAGTAAATGATCCTCTTGAATCTGAAGTCTGAAGCAATCTTTATGTCAGAACAGTTTCTTCAAAATAATTGTGTCAGGCAATTGATCTTATTCTTGGAAATACATTTCAGAAGTATAGTTTCAGATATTTTAAGCCTCATTGACTTCTGACTGTGATTTGCCAAATCAATTGGATGTTTCTAGAAGAATTAAAGACTGGTGCACAAATTTCAGGTAACTTTGAGCACAAAAATACATGTTACGGGCAAGGTAATTGTTAACAGAAAGATCTTTATTTCTCATGAGAAAGCAGAAGACATGACTGCAGAGGTAGATTACCAGTGGACAAGTGTATTTAGACTAATGGATCTTGAATAATATCAGATTAACATGTAGCCATTTAGTAAGAATTCACTATAGTTTTGTTATCTTTTTCTTAATCCATTTAAGTAAGTCATAACAATTTTTCTGGGGTTTTGACAATTGGTTTGGAATTTGGATAGCTTCATATTTGCATATTTCCAGATTTTTTTTAAATGTCTAAATGAAATCATATGATTTTCATGGATAAAATATGCCCTATAAAGTTCAAAGTTCCCTGATGTTGAAAGATGTCAAAAGAAACTGGTCAACAATAAGAACACACTTGTAGACCTTCCCATGCAATAACACTCAAAGGTTACTCCAGTCTCTACCCTTTCTTATTCATTGGTGTAATCTCCTTCATTTTTTCCTCAGAAGTAAAACAAATAGTATAAATTCTGCCTCTACTTCAAGATGTATGTAAATACACATATTTTAGCCTTTGTACTACTGTAGGAAGTCAAGTATTCTGCATAGCCACCAACAATGGTGTAGACAGGCAGGCATAGTGTAAGACACGTGAAAGGTAGATCTCACTTTCCATGGATAAAGTTTCTTTCATTTTATCTTACTGATCTTTAATAGGAACTAATTTTTAATGTGTATTGTAAATTATTCTTCTGCATCCTGGTCATGTAGGGTCATAAGTGCTTTTCTCTCAATTTCTTTGCTTAAAATAGTGAACCTAAGGAAGTTTCAGTCCCATGAAAAAAATATTAGTCCTGTTTTCCCACTTTGTAATACACTGAAAGGAAGCAGGAGTTACAATTCTCCAGCCACAGCTCAGAGGATTTCCTTTAAGTGTTCTAATTCCAGAGAAAGAAACATATTTTTTCCTGCTAAAATTGCATGAAGAAAATAAGGAATTAGTTTAAATACCCATCTTGCTTTCTCCCTATTTGGTTTGGTTTTGGTGGTATTTTTGCTGTGGTTTTCTGGTTTGCTTGGTTTTTTCTGTCTTCTTGTTAGTCTTCCCAGAAAACAAAAAGGAAGAATACATTAGGCATTTCCTGAACTGCTTTGGTAACTGAAGGAGCTTTGTATCTCCCAATACCAATCAAGTTACTTTTGGTTTTATCAATTAAAGCTGTAATATTTTTACAGGTTTTGGGGGGTTACACAAGGCAGTGAATTGATAGTTTGCCAATGCTCTCTTTTAAGATTGTCAGCCACTTACATTACTCACATGCACATAAAGAAATTGAAATAAAAGAATCACTAGGAAGGGAAAATCTCACCTCAGACGTGACAAGAAACCACAGAAAACTCTAACTGTAATATTAGGGGTTGACTTTTGTGTCTGTTGCTTTCTTTCTGGAAATAAAACTCATGTTTATGTTGTATGGCTTTGTATTATCAAAACTGTTCCATAACTAATCATCTGGAAAGACTCATTAAAAAGAGTAGCACAAAATGGTGGATTTTATTTTCTATCAGCAATGTAGCAAGGAAGTAGTAACTAATCATAGGTACATCTTTAAATTAGGGAGCAACTTAATAGATTAAAAATCAGCTCATCCTTATAGGCTGCAGTTTGATACAGTTTCTAGTTATTTTTTCTTGCTAGATTTCTAGTGGTTTTTCATTTTTCCTTTTTCATTAGAGAGCTCTCAGTCAAATTCCTTTCTCATTTGTACAGTGTAAATCTGAAATAAATCCTTTAATTGAATTGTTCTTGATTTTCTTTAACAAGCCTAAGAACAGAATATGACCCTTTTCTTTAGCAGCAACCAAACTGTCCTTAACTTTGAAAGCACACTGAATCAAGCTTAGGTAGAAAAAAGTCTCCAAAGATTTAATAGACTAAGTTTTCTTATTAGGAAAAGACACCCATTAAAAAGGCAGTGTTCTGCCTTCCTACTTTGTAGGAAGATGCTTCACTTGAAGGCCTGGGATTTTAAATTACCTGTCAAACAGAATTTAACTCTGGATGCCTCAAAAGTAACCTGATCCTGCAATAGGAGAAAAAAGGAAGTGGTTGCCTTTATAACGTGTCTTTCCAATGATGATCACTGAGGAAGACTTTGTGCTGTACCCTCAGACAGATTTGTGCATTTTGGTAACAAGATTCACTGAGATTTCTTTAGTGACTGCTGCCCAACAGCACCACGGGTCCCAGCAACACATCATGCCTATGGCTGTTCTGTGGTCACCAACACCACCTCTTAGCAGCATGAAATATCCTTAGTGATTGAAAGGCAATCCAAATGGGGATGTTATAGGGACAGAAAATTAAATGCATTGTTTATTTTCAGAGGCAAGATCATATAGTAAAATTGTTAGATTTTGAACTGTTAATGAAAATATAGGCTATAGCTTATTTTCACTGTTTGTCCTCTCATTTTCCTGCAATGTTTCTATATCGGTTGCTGTATCTTCCACCCCTCCTTCCAAGCAAATTGTAACTGTTGTCATTAAATAAAAAATAAAAATATGTATCAGCATATTTGGCAGATAAAATTTTCAATAAAGAATAATCATTTTAGGACAGCTTTTCTGCTCACTGACTCTATGAAGGAGTTTCCCTATTTTTCTGAAAGCTGCTCCCTTTGACATAATCTCAAAGTGGTCACCCAAAGTCTGAGCCTTACCAGATGTTAATTAGTTTGAAAATACATATTGTTTAAAGCACTTCCTCTTCCTAGGGACATCATAATAATACAGGATTTTTTTTTATCTGCCCTAGAAAATAACTGTTTCTTTTCTCTATCAACTGTCTTTAAAGCAGTCACCAAGGATCCTAATATAAATTGGTTAGGACTCCTTAAGATTTTTGCACCCAAAGTTCTTAAGACTTTAAATGAAAAGGTTGCTTCTGTGTGAACAATCAAAGTAAACTACTCAAGTAGATATTATGGCACTTGAAACAGAAAGTCATTATTTTTACAGTTCTGCATAAACATGACAGAATTTTGTCCTAAATAATTTTAAAATTACAGTTTCTGTTGACTCTGCTACATGTTCTCCCATGGCATAGAGTATGGTAGCAAATTCCTATGCAGAACTAAGAAGGAAGAGCCTTGGACAGATCCTTTAGGAGGGTAGTGGATCAGCAGTTCTTTATGTGACAAATCCAATAATCAACTGGTTTAGACAGGAGCTATTTCATTCTCTTCACTGCTAAGAGTAGTGGTAATTATTTATGTCTTTGAGAACAGCCATCATTCACAAATTTAGAAGGAGGGATTAATTCCTCTGACCTGCTGCTGCTGAACTGTGCTTCTCTATTCCTGTAACAACTACATGGAGTGGGTTTTAGGACGAGAGATCAAAATTGCAGGACATTTTTAAATTTTTTATTAATACTTTATTGTTGTACCATTCATATTCTGAAAGTTTATTTTATTGTTGTTACAGCGACGTCCAAGCAGATGGCCAGCAATGAAATTCAGAAGAGGATCTGGACATCCTGCCTATGCTGAAGTGGAACCAGTCGGAGAAAAAGAAGGGTTCATTGTATCAGAGCAGTGCTAAAATTTCTGGGACAGAACACCAGTACTGGCCTACAGGTGTAAGACATTTACTTTGCCTCTCTTTAAAGAAAAGGAGCCCTAAGCTGCTGTAGCCTGATAGAAAGAAGATTTTGGATAAGCTTTGTCCAAGAAGAAAAACTATCTAAGATACCAGATTACTACTGCACAGTAGTTTTTGTTAGTGGACTGAGACACAATGGTTCATGCAGAACACTTGTCAGTGGACACCTACAGTATCAGAACTATGGCACAAGTGCCATGTTATTGGCTTTAGGTGCGGGGATGCACAGTAATCAGAAATATAATAAAGCTTTGGTGCACAAGGGTGTTGCCCTTTGGTTTAAGTGTTCTCTGTTATCTCAAAGACTGAGGGACAAATCTGTACTGTTTCAGTGCAAAGGGCACTGAACCGTGTTCACAGGTGATTGAGAACAGTATTTCAATGCAGGTAAAGAAGAAACAAGGAACTTTCCAATATTTCTATAAGCAGATGTGAAATACACACACTTTTCAGTCTAAATTAACCTACCCACCTGAGTGAGTCACAATGTAAATGCTTTCCAGGAGTAGTACAATGTTTCTTGTGCATTGCTGATTACTACCCTTCTAAACAACTCATGATATTCAAATCAGCAACAGATATAAGCAACAGAGAATTTTCACAATGGTGAAATCATTTCCTGGGAGTTCACAATGAAATTGGGCTGATTTTCAGTTGCAGTGTTCACTAAAAAATGAATTATCAGGTTTGTGTTAAAGGATGTCTTTCATTTCTCAACAGGAGGCTGAAGTAAAGGCAACAGATCCTTTTAGCTGCCAGAGAGCTAAATGGCTTTAGCTGCCATTTCTTAGGCAATCTGATATGAAAAAATAAGATTTAAAATAAATGGGTTTCTATCCGTTGCCATTTCATTCTGAGTCGTTACTGAGACTTCAATGCACCCCTTTCAGAGATTCAGATACAAGTGTTATTGAACCCTGCTGATTCATACAGTGGTTTTGTTTAATGCACATAGTAGTTGCATAAATATATATATAAATATATTTTTTTTTATAGCTAACACAAGGCGGGTTCTTGTGACTGTTAAGATTGCATTTTTGTCATCCAGACAAAGGAAATGGATTGCATTACTGCATATTTCCACTGAGTTGTAAAATAATCCTTAATATTAGAATATTTTTATGTTGTGTAGGGAAGGTGGTTCATGTAGTTGCAGTGCCATAAACTTTCTGCCTATTGGAACCATTCTTTCTTTACTATCGACTCTTTCCCTCCCTGTATAGGGAAAGACAAGACTATAAATTCACACCATCAAAAACTGTTACTCCTTTCATGGAAGTGGTTAATATACACCAAGACCCAGAGCTTCCATGAGGAGTGGCAACCTAAATACTTTGATGATCTGGGCCTGGGCTATAAAATATAAAATTCAGGTATTGTATGTATATTTCATAGCAGTCATTGTCTACCAAATTTTTTACATACTGTGCAAGGCACTTGAATGATTTTAAAGTGAGGTATGTAACATCTGTGGTTTTTGTTCTCGAGCAGTTTAAAGAAGTTGTAGTTATCATCTTAATAGTACATTATTTACATTTCTGGTTGATGCTTGTATGGCCTAAATTTGATTACTTAATGATGTTTAAAAAAAAAAAAAAAAAGAAAAAAAAAAAAAGAAAAAAGGAGACACAATTTTTACTTGTTATTTTGTTCAGTAAACACTACAATACTATATTTTCTGTATTCTTTTATTTTGGGTAACACAATTCTATTTTCATCTGGTTTAAATCATCTAGCATGAGACTGAAACTGTTCAAAACCTAACTGGTATTAATCTAAAGGTACTAACAAACACATTGTCTTGAAACCTGGTGAAAAGCCAATGGCAAGTATTCATTTCAGTTTGTGTGGGTCTGCTGAGCCCTGTTTCTATTAAGATGGGGTTAAGTTTCAAGATGTTAATTCTGATAGCAATAACCAAATGTATGCACATATACATGGTGACACTCATTTTTATTAAATAAAAAGGTATCAGTGCACATCATTTAGGCACGTATTTGGTGTGCAATAATTATCATTAGTTTTCCTAGGAATGCTGGAGGTCATCAGCTAGGGTTCATTGGCCAAATGAAGCAATTGTAGAGCTTCTGGAATCCTATTTGGAAAAATTTTTATTTCAGAGCACATCTTGGCAAAATATACTAAACAATTTACAAAAATCTACATAGAATTGCAATATATTCAAGGGACTTTTCATGTAAGTAAAGAAGATTTGTATTATTATGGGTTTACAGGTCTACGCTTCATCTGATTTGCTCATATTTTTACCCATATATGTGATACATTTCATGCAATGGAACTGACAGAATATTTGTATCACAAATAAGACAACTTTTTTAAAATCTGGTATTTTGATTAATTTTGTTTTAAGGCATTCTTGCACAGCTGAAGGATGTTTGTTAGTATTTGCAAACTAACTTACATATCATACTCCTTCATAAAATAGGAACAATTATTTTTTTCACTTTTTGTCCACCTCACATTATTTGGTGGCAGATTTCACTGGGTTATGGGAAGCATCATAGTATACTTCTTTAGATTTTTGCCATGATGTTATATGCTATGGATTATAACATGAGGAGTTGCTGGGCTTATTAAATAAGACTGATAGGCATATGCTTACATCTGATAAGAACTGCTATCTGAAGAGAAAATCTCCTGCATACTAATAGATGTATAGTGTCTCATTGGTGTCTGCTTTGATATATTCTGTGGTATGTTCTATTTATCCCAGTAGGCAAAAGTTAATTAAGTAATCTGTTGATGTTTTGTAATTCCATCTGGTTTTCTAATTTTTTTAATTATTAAAATTGCCACATTAAAAATTATACAAACATTAATCTAGAGGTGTGATAAAATATTGAAATTAATTGACAATCCTATTCTTATATTTTTATAAAGCACCAGGTTAATTGGTACAGACAAAAAAATTGTCGTGTAACTCTCTCTCAGAAATCCAGCTGAAATGTTATTCAGCAATTCATAAAGAAATTTCCATCCTAGTGTCTGAAACAGTGGCTTCACTAGCATTCCCACTGGTCCTTCATTTGAAACTAACTCAGAATATTTCATTTGTTTAAATGCTTGCTTACAGAGTTGTTTATCCTAACAGTTACTTTAACTCTTAAACTTTCCTGTAAATTTATGTATCTAATACTTGTAATTATTTCAAGATCTCCCAAAATTATTTCTTACTATTTTCCATTTAAGTGTCAAACATTCCATAACACCTAGCACTCTTATGCTTCAGCTCATCCTGTTTCATGGAGAAAAAGGAAAATTGGAACTACAAAGACCCAAAGCACATTACTAAGTAGCTTTTAAGTCACATTAAGATGAAACACTAAATCAGATATATGTATCACACACAGAAATTGTTGAAAAAAAGACTGTAACGTTTGCAAAATTGTATTCAGATATGAACTGCTGAAGAAGTAGAATTGTAATTTCGCACCCATGTGCATACATATAATGATGCCATCTTATTTCACTGTCCACCATTTCTCAGTGTGTCCTGTGACGTACTGGAGAAAGAGAACAGAGACTGTTCATAAGAAGTGCTATTTCATATTTTTCTCCTCCTTGCTCAAATTTTATTGCACTTTGTGCAAAAGTCTGTCCAAACCCTGTTCAGAGGACTTCTTTTTTTCATGGACTTTTCTTCTTTACCCATGAACATTATACTCAAGGGATGTGTACACCTTGCTTTATGTCTGTTCTGAGCATTCCTGTGAAAGGAGTCAATTTTCCAGAGAACACCAATGTGATACTGTTCTTTCTTTTCATATAATTGCTTTTCTCATTCTCTACAGCTTCTACTACAAATGACATAGATATCTTGTAAGTATAAACCTACTTCAGTGCAACATTATAATTTACCTTCAGATCAAGTTCATTTTTACAAATAATATGTGTGCTGCAATTCTGGGGGAAAAGATAATACATCACTGTATTTTGAAATACTGTGGAAGCCAAGCTGAATAGAATATTTGACTTTGCAAACTTCACCATTTTTCCATGGTCAACAGAGTTCAAATCCTAAAAAACTCATTACACTAGTATCTGAGACAGCTGAGTAGTTGAAGCACTAGTTTGCCATCCAAATGTGGAAGCAATGGAAAAGGAAGCGGTGATCCAGTTTGCCAGTGAGCAGGGAAGAGATTTTCTTTACAGAAGAGTAAGAAATCTTCCAAGGGAAACATGAAAATATTTCTATATTCTCTTAGATAACTTATTGAATAAGAACAAGAAACTGTAAATTGAAATATCCGTTATTTTATTTGTAAACAATCTTTAAATAAGATTCTACAAGCATTTGTCAGGAGCTGGCAGTTTTTCACAAAGTGAATAGAGTGAATAGAGCATTCAGTACCCCGTGTTGGATCATGTTTCAGCTCAAGATCATCAAAGGGAAATTTCATTTTGGGTGCATACAGCGGAGAAAGCAATGGCTATGTTATTATTTTCGGACATTATTTTCTTTTATTTTTTATACAAGATTAGGCATTCACCTAGTAGATATCTCAGCTGTAGAAAAATCTATAGGACTTGATATTTTACCTCATGAATGGTTTATGTCACTCCTCAGGACAAAGAAGCTTGAACCACAGGCAGCATTTTGAGGTGGAACAGTGTGCCAGTAGTGTTTTATCAGAAGTCAAATATGGCAAAGCAGGATGCAGCTTGCATTGAACTGAAGGGAACAAATGAGTTTAATTTTATCCAGAGCAACCAATATCCCTACTGCTGGAGCACTGATAAAATATTCAAGTCTGTGGACTGATTGGATGTGATTTAAACAATATCATAACTCTAAAGCTGTCCTTTAATTATCAGTTTATTGTCAAAACTTAGGAGATTTTCTTGACTTTTTAATTTTTTATGGAGAAGAAAAAAATTGAGGATGCCAAGTACAGTAAAGTATCTGTCTGACAAGGCAGAGAGTCTTATCTCCTGACACAGTTCTTTCCCAGCCAGAATGGTTGCTCCCCTGTGCACAGCTCTTTTTAGTTGGTCTCATGCTAACTCCACAGTCTTTCTCAGGACATTTCATGCATTTCAACTCAATTCTCTCTCTTGTGAGATTTTTCAGTACCTATCTCCTGCCTCACTTTTTGATTCTTGGGTTCTTCACCTCTGGCCTAAATCTACATTTTCACTACTTTGTTTTCTTGCACTCCTCTAAAGCCTGAATTATGTGTCAACATGACCACTTTCAGTGTCGCTCAAAATAAGCCTCAGTCTGAAAAAAGCTCCACTTGATTTTTCCTCTGTATGTGGATTCTTGTTAATAGAACTATCTGAAGGTAGATTTTCCTGTTATTGACTAAATTCTGTCCAGTGAGTCAGCAAGCTCAATGCTGAGTCTCCGGAAACTTGGAAACTTGTTTAGACATTTTGGTCAAACAAATTACTGGTCTCTTCAGAGGAAAACTTGTCCCAGATAATTTTTTTAAAGCAGCAAAAGGACTTTAAAAGACAGACCTCAAGACATTACTTTTAATTACATCCATTTAACTAAGCAGATAATTTTACTCAATTAATTAATATAGATGTCTGTTGTCTCTGTAGTCTCTTTGGGAAGATAGCGTTCAGGGATACTAGTTAAACTCTTCCCATGAAGTTTGCATTATTTCCTTTGGCATAGCTCTCACTTGAAAAACAAAAAGTGCTATTAATTGCTAATGTTAGCTTGAAAGAAGTTTCATTTATTGACTGTTTGGATGGTACAATGTTTCCTCAGACATTTAGAAGCTGTTAGTAAAAAATACCACTTCTAGCTGTCTAGCTTGTGTTTGGACTGATGATTTTATTACTAGATTTTTTTTTTTTTTCAATAAGAGTTGTTACATTTTGTTTTGGGAGGTAGCAACAAATACTGTAATCTGATTTTCACATTTGACTACAATGCAATGGTGTCCTTTACCTAAGCTTTTCACTTTAAAACTTTCCAGCGCTACCTTGCCTATGAGGACATCAGGATTGCACCACAACTACATACCCCTCTTTCGGTGACAATATGAAGCTTTCCAAAACAAAATGTTTTGCCTTTCATAGACATGTCAGTACTTTCACGATGGCCTGTTTCCAGAAGGAATCCTCTTCCTAAAGAGATGAGTCTGGCAGTCTAGGTTACAGAGTGTGACTGAAAATAACTAACTCTGTAAAACATAAGCCATGCATAGCAGCACTATCACTGGATGAAATTACCTCCAGCACTCACTGGCCCTCAGGCTGGGGCCTCACCCCTGCCACAAAGGGTCCAGCATGGGATGTGGGCAGGATGAGGGCAGGGCAGCGGATGCTTGAAGGACTGCAGGTGCCATTCCTGCTTGGAGAGCAAAGAGGGGGTGGGTACCTCACTAAGGCTTGCGTGCTCCAAAAAAAGGTGGTGACTTTGTGCCAGCCTCTGCCTTAGTGCTGAGCATGAGCAAAGGATCTCCTCAGCATCACCCCTCCCCGGGTATTGCTGCAGAGTGAGCGTGGCCTTTGCTCTGTGTGTGACAGCCCCCTGCAGCCACGCACACACACACTTGCACCCCCCCCACGCTCCTTCCAGTTGTTGTCAACCATGCATTTTGCATTTCAAGTGTTTTCTCAGAGCAAGAGCACTTTGAGAAATGATGACACAAGCCATTTCACTCTGTATCTCTGCAGCACCACTGTGCATTCTGAGGGGAATGCCTGACAGATCTTCTCCCAGTACTCTGTACTGCTCCTCCGAAGTGTGGGTGAGCATGTCAGTGAAAGGTGACAAGTGCTCAGGGGTTATCTTGGCCTGCAGATTTCTGCCTGGAGGGAACCAGGCTTGACAGGGAACCTGGGGAGAGATTACAATCTATTAGATAAGATCAGACATCCAAAAATTTAGCTAAGGATGTAGATTTTGCCATAATTTTTCCTGAAGTGACCTTGGTATGTAAATATGCTTGACACAGATGACCAGCATTGGCTGAGTTATCCTACACAGCAGTGACTTTAGGGAGTAGAGCAATGAGAAGCTCATGACATATCTTTAGCACTTGCTAAGAGCAATGTTCACAGTGGAAGGCTCAGCAACTGCCTCCACCTACACTTAGTGATAATGGAGATGTCTGACCCCTCTTAGGGACTAAGCTAGCAGTTTGATCATTCGACCATGAGGTTATAGATGCAGTGCTTGGTTGGGGAGGCATGTGAAGTCCTGTTACCCAGGAGAGCATCCCAAATAGTGGTATACACATTAAGCTTCCTCAAATCCTTTCTCAGAAGCTGCCCATGACCCTGGTGCAGAAAAGATGCAAGATTCTTTGGCTCCAAAGGAGTGAGTGACAATAGCAGGGAATTAGTCAATGCCCAACTAAAGGTCTCTGTTAAGGGATGAGAGTGTGCTGGGTGCTGGATTCTCATCTAGAGGTGTCATTTGGACTTACAGAAGTAGCAAGCAGTCTCAGGTTGTGTCTTTGCCTCTATACACTTAAACCAGGGACGCTGGATTCCCACAATCAGTAAGACATAAATTTTCAGACATACTCTGCTATTTTACTAGTAACAGACTAGACATAAAACACTCTTGCCCCTTTATGTTATGTCATTTTTTCAACCTCATCCTCAGGAATCCAGTCCACCAGTATATGGATTTAGGTATACCTTTGCTTGAGAACACTTTCTTGGGAATTTAATTCCTGGAGCTAATGTGGAAAAAGGTCTGCATCACTGTATACTGTTCTCTGACTCGCTAGGTGCCTTAGGAGTGAGGACAGGTAAAGCATTGCTGCAGGATGCTGAGGTATCTGTGATGAGCATCACTAGGAATAAAGAACACACAGACACAAAGAAAAGCCAAACTTTTCTCTCTACTGCAGAACAGGAAATCCTGAGAAAGACAGTAATGAAATCAGATGAACCCTTCACTGCAGAAGCAATGAAGTGCTTTGTGGTGACTAGTCTAGCTGTCTTCTATTCTAATGGTTTAGCACAGTCACCTTGTACTTTGGGAACTAAATGATGTATGGAGTTTTATTTGTCTGGTCTATGTCTTCTCTCCAGCCACTGCCTATTGCAGATTGGAAAACTGTCAGCTTTTCCACTGCTAAGATAATGTATACACAAACCCGACTTCTACAGACACAGTTGTTCTAGTAAAAGTTCTATCAGTTGTCTCTCTATTGAATAAGCAATGATGCTTCGGCTTTGAGAGAAACTCTGAGCCCTGTGTTTTTGTTCCTTCTTTCTCCCTGCAGTGAATATTAATAGTTGTACAGCATGTAGAGAGCTTGGCTGAAGTACTGCAAATGAATGTCAATTGTTACATGTGATAATGGGAAAAGACTGAGCAACACCACACTCAGAAAATCAATACTCCTCACCATATTCAATAAAACTCAAATATTTTCATGAAAATTGTTGTGGAATGATTCTGAGTGTTAAACAGAGGTTGGTACATTTGATCTGAATAAAGGAGAAGTTTTCTTTCATTTTCTGTGAAGTTATAATCATAGTCATCAGCCCAAATAAGGTAAACCTTTTTCATTGAGTTTCAAAATACGAATATCTACCTGGATAGAGTGGCATGAGTGTTTCCCTTGTTGATTACATGTAGGATGTCACTCTGTTCTGCTGTGTATTATCAGTGAAAGGATTTCAGATATTTTGGAGATAATATTCTATATTCATTTAATCTTTGATAGCAGCAATAAATCTACTGCAAATATTTCAAATACTTTAAGTAAACATTTACCAGTGACATATAAATCCTAAAAAAACCCTTATAGGTAAAAATCCAAAATACAAGTGTCTTTTTACACTTGTTACTAAAAAATTTCAGAGGGAGGAAGAAAAAAAATGAGTGATATTTAAATACACTGTCAAGAAGTTTTCTGCATTAATCAACCCACTGACCAAATGACTGAATGAAGAGCATCATGGAGAAGTTAAATCCAATAATGACTATATGTTTGTCAAAGGTTTAGTTCCCTCCTACTGATATTAAATTGGGGTATGGAAACCATTAAGTCATCAGGTACTGAAGTCCCCAAAAACAGGGTCCTTTAGTTGACTGGCACCTCCTAGGGAGGCAGAGGGATGCCCACCTGTGGAGAAGGAGGAGATTAATGGTACACCGAGACATGGTATTGAAACCTGTGAATACCCAAATCAGCTTAGACATTGTGCTATTTCCTGCTTTTTTCCTTTAGAGCAGATACAGCAGCTATGGCAACCTGCAGGATGGATTTCCCTCTGCCTCTACACAGCAGTCAGTCTTGTTGAAGTCCACTTCCAACAAAAACTCCAACCAAACCAAAAAAGAGAAATGACAGCTAATTCTATGTAGCACCTTAAAGGAAAGATTTGTGGAAAAATATTTAACACAGTGATTGTCCGAAGGGCTGGGGAGTGTATGCTGCTAGATTTGAAATGAGAATTATTGAATGACATTAGCATGGCTTTCTTGAAAATAAAGAGCAGATTAAGCATCTGTATCAGAGGAACATTACAGCCTAAATGGAACTAATACCATGAAATAGTGCTCATAAATATAAGTGCTACTTTAGCTGTTGCTCTTTCTTTTTCTTTTAAGGGGTTATGTAATGCAATACACAGCTTTACTCAGGATGATAATTTGTGTCATGCTCACATATGACTTTGGCAGAGACACAATCCCTTACAGGAAAACATTGCCAGCAACCAATAAAGATCTCTGCATTAGAAGGGAAAACAGAAATCCAGTTTGCACAGGGAATTTCTGATCTGATGGCTGTTCAAACAAACATCGATGAAGGAGCAGGTTGCTCTGGAAATGAGCACATCCTCACAGTGACTGCCAGTTGGTGAATTGCTCACAGGAAGCTTGACCAGGGAAGCAGCTGACAGCTGGTAATTGATGTGGACAAAGGCAAGAAGCTGGGCTTCAGGAGGAGGCGACACAAGCCACCAGTTTGCCTCCCTCATGGGTACAGCACAACAGAGACCATTTGCCACCTCTGCTCTTGTCACAACAGAGAACGAAATCTAGAAGGCATAAAATGTGCTCTTCCCACACACCATCATTTCTAGTGGTAGTGGTTTTACTGGTGGAAATTAAGCACTCCTCACTTCATCATTGATAAACCAATGGTAAATGACCATGCAAACTCCTGTTCCTGTTCACAACAGTCAGGATTTACTGAGGCAAGATTTGAATTCCTGGTGTGTTTCTAGTATCAACCTTATTGGCATAGCAGTGGGAAAATAGGACAGGATGTAGAGCAACCACGCACAAAGAAAGCACAGCAAAACTTGTCTTTTCCAATAAAAAGAGGTGGAGGTGAATTTTCCACCTACTTACAGCTTCTTTTCTCTGATTTTTTTCAGTACTAAATAACACAGAAATGCTCAATTAGATAAAATTCCCAACATGAAATTACACATATCCTTAGGCTTCTTAATAGGGCTTAATGGACAGTAACACAACTGAAGAAAAAACTATAAGTTATTCTTGTACCTGAAATACTTTAAAACCTCAAGAAAGCAACTTAAAATGCACACATGAAAGAAACCACTGTAATTTTTTTAAATCTATCTATTTATTTATTTTTATAACCCATGTATTTGAGTGATCTCCTAACATCAAGTCAGCACAGCCTCAGCTTGGTGTGTCACAAGAACCCTGCATCACATACCCAGCTACCTCATGTCTATCTGAATTGAAACATGGGCAAAGGAAGCTCCCATCTGCTCATCTGTTACCATGGAGCAGCTGTAACTGAGTCCATTATAGCTGTCAGTTTTCTACTGCAACGCCTGACACTTCCAGTGCTCAAGTTTATTTCCTTTGTTTTTATGAGGACACCACTACAAACTGCAAAACACAACCTTATTCCTGGAGTGCTAAGAAGAGCTTCCAAGATTTAGGAGAGTTTTGCAGGAGGTGAGCAAGTTAAAGTGGAAGTATGGACAGGAATGCACACAAGAGAAATGTGGGTAGAAACATCAGGAAGGAGAAGTATCTGATTCTCTATCAGGCTCAAAAGTCCAAGTGTAATTTGAACAACTGCAAAAGTGAGCATTCTCCATTTCCATCCTTGTAGATGTGCCAGGAAGTAATTAGATCTCTGTACAGGACAACAACCCTGAGAGGAACCCTAAAGTACTGACCACAGGCTGAGCCAGGCTTTCAAGACCCACTGGTAATGCATTTTATTGTTATTAACTCAAGTAGCTCTGATTCCAAATGCTGTAATGTAAGAGTTAGTCTTTTAGCTCAACACAAAAAAGAGAGCTAGTCTGTCTTTATAAGATTTCCCTAGTTTTGAGCA